TCCCTCCCCTCTCCCTCCCTCCCTCCCTCCCTCCTCCTCTCCTCTCCTCTCCTCTCCTCTCCTCTCCTCTCCTCTCCTCTCCTCTCCTCTCCTCTCCTCTCCTCTCCTCTCCTCTCCTCTCCTCTCCTCTCCTCTCCTCTCCTTCTCGTCCCCGTTCCCCTTCCCCTCTCCCCTGCCCTCGCTCTATACACGCCTGGAACTTCCGAATCCAGCAACTGCCTTTTTCGTCTTAGGGAGGCCCCACCCCCACCCCAGTATAAAAGGCAAAGGTGCCGGTGTTGTATCCAACGGCCAGGTTAGGGGAGGGCAGAATGTCGGACGAGGAGGACATCCTAGGGGGGTCCAGGAGGTTTTACCCCAGTGGTCAGCTCCTGTCCTACATCAAGAAGGATGGGAGCGGCATCGTCCACTATCCTGATGGGAGGATAGCGGTGAACATCGTAGCAGGGGACGGGATACCCCCCGGCCTGTACACTACGTTCTTCAGGCACAAGGGAAGGAAGGATGTGCTGGGGAGCTGGAACTGCAGGGGGGAGGGGTCGATGATGTACAAGAGCGGAAAGGTGATGGTCTCTACAACACTGAGCGGGGGGGCGTACTACGACGAGGACGGTAACTGCCTGCGGCGGTGGACATGGGAGAAGTCGCCGTTGAAGGACCCCATCGACGTCAAGATCAATGACTTCCTCTCGATGAACATCACGGATCGGCAGAACATCCGATGCACCTTCAAGGCTCAGGACAAGGTCCTGGTGTTCGAGCTGGGTCAGGTGATGAGGAGGAGCGACACGTACCTGGACAAGGTGATTGGGACTGGGAGAGGAAATGAGCGGGGAAAGTTGTTCCTGGATGTAGAGAAGTGCAGAGACTCTCTGTCTAAGACTCAGGTCCTCCGTGACACGTTCAAGGCGGTCAAGGTGGATCCTGTCATGCCCAAGGACGGGACCCTCGACCCGCGTGTTGTGGAACTGGCCAACAACCCGAGCAAAGTGACTACGGAGAGCATAAGGCATCAGATCAATGTCATCACGACCATCACGACGGAGAACGCTGGTGCCCTGCATGCGCTCCCTTACATCGAGCATGAGATCGGGGAGGACGGGAAGCGGAGGCCCAAGTGGACCGAGGGGGTGGACACAAAGTCGAAGAGCTACATGCTGCAGCAGAAGGTGAGGACATGGCTGGAGGTTGAGGGGGAGGAGGGAGAAGGGAGAAGGGATGACAAGAGAGAAGAGCAGAGGACTGGGGTGGTGGAGGAAGGAAGTGAGGTGGGGAGGGAAGGAGAGAGGGACAAGGGGACAAGGAGAAGGGAGAGCAGCGGTGAAATTTGGAGTAGAGGGAGACGGGGGGGAGGGGGGGAGGAGGAGGGGGCAAGGGAGGAACTTGAAGTAACGGAGGTGGCAGATGGCGAAGGGATGGAAGTGCATCCTCCCACGAGCTGACTCGAACTCGGAGCCGGTGAGAGCCCCGGTGCTGATGGGAGGAAGGTTCGAGACCTGCACCCGGTTCGCGCCCTACTTCACGAAGAAGGTGAAGTTGCCCAGCCTGAAGTCTTCCGAGTACGACTCCTTTCTCCAAAAGGCCCCCCAGCAGCAGGTCGTCATGGTGGTGTGTGTGTCTGCGGCCTCGCCGAATGCGTCGAGCAAGGTGATCATGATTATGAGGAGGAGGAGGAGGAGCAGCAGCAGCAGCAGCAGCAGCGCAGCAGCAGCGAAGCAGCAGCAGCAGCAGCAGCAGCAGCAGCAGCAGCGAAAGAGCGGGAGCAGGGAGCAGGGAGCAGGATGAAGAGAATGGGGAAGAGGGAGCAAGAGGAGGAGGGAGAAGCAAGGGGGTTACAGAGAAGGAAAGGCAGAAAGGGAAGAAAGGAGTTTCCGTGGAGCGAAAGGGCAAAGAAAAGGAGCTGAATTTGTAGCAGGCCCTCGCGCTAATGGAGGATGTGAACGGAATAATCTGGGAGAGGTAAGGGAGGCGTCCCTCCCCCTTGATAGTGGTCCCTGACTTTTCATTTCTTCTCCGATGGGAGCAGATACGGGGATATGGACCTGAGCACGCGGAAGTGTTTGAAGTCTGCAGATCAGATTCCTTTCCGTATGATGCAGGTAATGAGCGGGGGGGGGGGGGGGGGAGTGGCAATCGGAGGTCCAGAGGCAGTGGAGGCAGGAGGCAGGAAGCAGGAGGGATGGGAAAAGAGGGAGAAAGGGGGAGGCAGGGAGGGCTGATGTATCTGAGCAGTTCGATATTGCTGAGTCTCGTCTCCTTGCCGATCGTCACAATATCAAGTCCGTCCCGATGTACCTCATCTACTCCAAAGGCAAGCTTGTCTACGCGTCAAACACGTTCACCAAGGTGTGAAAGGGAAGGGAGGTGGGGAGGGGAGAGGAGAGATAGCAAACCAGAGGAGGGAGAGGAAGAAGAGATAGAGATGGCCAGGAGACGAGGGAGAGGAGGGGAGAGGAGTTGAGTGAGAGCAGAACGAAACAGGAGAGAGAGAGAGGAGGAAGAAAGAGAGTTGACATGGGTTAAGGGGAAGGGAACAGGAAGGGGATGGGAAGATGACAAAGTGAAGATCGACGGGAAGGGAGACGAGGGAGGGGGATGGAAGGGAGACCAGGTGGGGGGAGGGTCTCCCAGATCACGTGACTTGTATGTCACCAGCGCTACGACGCCAAGGTGGAGGACCATCATCCGAGTCTCGACAGGATGTTCGAGCCCGTGCTCAAGAAGGCCTTCGGGCTGACGACTGATGACGTCATCAGGACGCTCGAGCAGGTGACGTGGGGTCTGACAAGCCCAGCTGCCGACCTGCTGAATGTTGTGCGAGCAGGCGAAGAGCGATGGGGCCAAGGGACTTTTCTTGCCCCACGGTCCAGCCTCCCTTTTCCTACACTTGCTCCTGCTTTTGCTCCTTCCCTTGCTCCAGCTCTTCTTTCTCCTCCTGACGCCTGCGCATGCCAGACCTCAAGTTCGGTGCTCCTGCTTCGTCGTTGGGTGGAGCTTCTGCTCTAGCGAAGATCATGGTGAGCGTTCTGCTCCCTCCCCTCTTGCCTCTTGATTTCCCCCTTCCCAGCCCTTCCCCTCGCCGAACTTTGCCAATCAGAAGAAGAAACCGCTCCTGCGGGTAAGTTTTCCCTCCTGATCTCCGTTATCCTACCTCTCTTTTCTTGTCTCTGCTCTTCCAGATCGTTTCTCGTTTTCTTTTCTTGATGTCTTTTCTCTTCATCGCTCCCCTCCTTTTTCTTTTCTCCTCTTCTCTCCTATTCCTCTCCTCACCTTCGCTGTTTTTCTTCTTCTCCACTTCTCTTGCTCATCCTGTATCCCTCCTACTCTTTCCTTCCTCTCCGCCCTCCTGACCAGCGCCCTCAGTCCGTAGTATGTGAGCCCACAGCCGTCGATGGAATCTTGTCTCGCATGGAATTCACCTTTGGCAAATCCGGAAAAGTCGAATCGTGACACTTTGCATCCCTTGTTTCAATCACTTGTAAATAATCTCAAACTCTTATCATGAATCAATTGATCGAAAACTTCTTGGGGTTGAAAACTGCATTCAGAATCTCCAGCTCTGCCTGCGCCTTTACCATGCCTTCTTTTACGTTCTCAAGAGCGATTTTCCTGCAGATGAGCTGGAAAGGAATTCATCAAACCAACATAAACGAGCCGATTTCAATACACACACACACACACATTAACAAACAAACAAACAAACAAACAAACAAACACATCTTAGTCATGTTTACGTCAGAAGGATGGATGAAGCAGTAGATAGTTACCATAGAGCCACAGAACTCACCGAATTCTCATAGTGTAAAATCTCTGACTTCAACTTTGTCCTTTCGTTCACTCGCTCTAACTGGCTGTGGACGATACTCAAAACGCTTTCTAACTTCTGTCGTTGTTCTCTCAACGTTTTGAAAAAGGGAGAGTCGGAAGTGTCATAGGTCGTCTCAGTTGAATGATGCTGTTTGGGGTATGAAGAAGACTTCTTAAGAACAACTCCTTGACTCGTCTTCAACATAACAATCTGTTCTCTTATGCTCTCCAGCTCGTTCTGAGAGACAGGACAGTCAAAGGCGAGCAAGGTGAGAGGACAACGGTCACCTTTGCATTTTCAAACTCCTTGTCGTGCGCATCAAACTCTGCTTTCTTCTTCTTATGCATGTCTCGTAATTCTTCTATCGGCATATCATCCCACGATGACTTTTCTGTCTCCCCCTCTTCTGGATTCATGAGCTTTTCTTGCAGCTCCTCTATCGTGTACACTGCGTTGTCAAGGGCGAATGCTTGAGCAGACACCTGGTATTTCTACTTCAAATTTTTGAATCTTTCAGTTGTAACTTGAAACTCTCTCGCTGCTCTTGGCCTTTTCTTTCCTTCCTCCATTCTCTTCTATTCCGCTTATCATACTCCTCTCTCACAAAGTTTTGACCGGTCATCAAGGACAAATATTCTCTTTCCTTTCCCTTCCTTGATCTTTCCTTTTCTCATTCATTCCCTGCCTCCCTTCGTCCTCCGTTTTTCATCCCGCTTCTCTGGTCGTTTCTCTCCTTCATGCCTCGATCTCTTCCTCTCCTCCTCGCTTTGTGTCTGATCTATTCGTCTCTCCTCTCCCCTCTCCTCCTCCCCTCTCCTCCTCCCCTCCCCTCCTCCCCTCCTCTCTTCCCCTCCTCCCCTCCCCTCTCCTCCCCTCCCCTCCCCTCCCCTCCCCTCCTTCCCTCTCCCCTCCCCCTCATCGCACCTGGTTCCTCAGTTTCTCTGTCAGTTCCTCCTCCATGGCGGTTGCGACTTCAGCACCCCCGAAATTGGTGTCCACTCCACAATCTTCGCTACCCCTACTTTTCCCTGTCATATTACCGGTCCAAAGTCAATTTGCGTCCGCCCCACCCTATCGCAATTTGTAAAAGTGTTTTTATTATTGTACCGAATAACCATGCGACGGTACCACAAAACTTTTAGTCACCATAGCCGTATGGATCCCCCGAAATTCAATCAAAGAGTGTACAGAGACTAAGTTGGCAGTATGGTGAAGTACCTCCTCCTCCTCCACCACCACCACCACCACCAAGTGGAGGAGAGGAGGAGGAGAAGTACAAGAGTTCACAAGTGCAGGAGAAGGAGTACAAGATGATGACGAAAGAACGAGCAGACAAGTTGTGCCTACGTGCTTAACACGTCAAGACCTGCAGATGATGCAGCCTGTACAGCTCAGATGGCTAAATATGCCTCTATGAAGTCAGAGGATGGAAGAACAAGATTGATACTGACTGAAGAAAGCCGATGGATCAGATTACATGCCATGTACTCGCGATGCTGTGAAGTCTGTACGAGCTTCAGCTTGCCTCGTCGCCTTCCTATCGCGCTCGAAGTCGGAAGAAGAATAACTGATTCTGCTAGTCTCAACTCTGGCATCTCTCTCCCCATCGCTGCAGCCATCTTGATGGCTAGTCGAGGCCATCGGTTGTCTTAGGAGTGACGCGGAATTCAATGGATTTCTAGTCCTACCCCACCTCCCCCATAACTCCATCATCTTGTCCTCGATTCCAGCCCTTACTCTGCTTGCCCCACGTTCGTACATTCGCTACCAGAGTTCAGGATGCGACAGGGTTGACCTGTACGCCAGTACGCCGAGTTGTGGGATCAGAATGACCTTACATGCCTCGAAGCTCACTGTCCTCTCGAGCAGCCAATCGTCCGGTTCGCAGATCTGACGGAGTCTGTGGACCCTGTTGACAAGTCAGGAGGACCGTCGGAACGGGAGAGAAAACGATCACATCGCCCACTCAAGATGAACTCCGTGCGATCTGTAGGAGACAAGTGGTTAGCATCGGCTGGTGGGAGGAGGAGCTGGACTACTCGTATTGGTTCCAGTCCATCGCGCTGAGAGCCTCCTGCAGGAGCCCTTTCCTCATCGCAAAGCAGCCGGTGAACATCAACCCGTCGTTCATGGAGACCTGGACTTAGGAGTCAAAGTTAGGATCGCTTCTTGAGACGTTGCGGACCCTGACGATCGCGTCCTGATGGGTGTTGAGCTCCACGAGCTACGGAAGACGACGGGTCAACGTGCATGCACAAGAGCGTCACGATGAACCTGAACGAGTCTGCGATCAGCGGGGGAGTATCGACCCGTGAGCTTGATGACCTAGTTCCTCTGTCAGGGAGGAGAGTGGGAGCATGGGGAGGAGGACAGGAAGGGGAAAGAGTGAGCAGCGAGCAGGAAGTTCGGAAGAAGCGAAGGAGGATGGAGGGGGAGAGAAGGCGGAGGAGAAAGGAGAAAAGAAAAGCATCTTGATTGCTTCCGCTCACCATCACATCATCTTTCACATCCCAAGTCTGAAGCGCCAGCAGCATCGACCTGCCCTCGTTGTTGCCCTGGTTCTCAAAGTCGTTGAGGTCGGTGTAGACCACGTGCCCATAGCCTTCTAAGAAGCTCCGAGACTCCCCTCCATGAACGGCCTCGACTATTAGAGGATCGGGATACCCGAGGCGAGCAAGAGCTTTGAACGTCCCCCTGTACAGCTCCTGCCGGCTCCACCTGTCATCCTCCCCAGTGACCAGCGCCGTGGTGACGAGGAAACGAATCTTTCGGCGGGTCTTGGTAGCGATGGAGAGTTGGTTGAGGAGGTCCTGGGACTTGATCCCTGTCTCTTGCACCAGGGAGGAGGAGGAGGAGGAGAAGCCAGCTCCAGAGGTGTCCAGGTCCAGGTTGTCGAACCCTAAGGTTTGAACCATCTCGCTCAAGTCGATGGAGAAGACCTTGAGCTGTGCAGCCTGACTAGACGACAAGATTCGCTTCTGCAGGACTGGGGTCGCAGACCCTGCATGAATGACCACCACCTGCGCCCTCAGCTCGCTCCCGCTGTCCTTGGACTTCAGCATCAGCACCCGCATGGCCTCTTGGTGGATGTCGGCTAGAGTTTGAGAGTTGATGACGTCACCTCGCTGGATCGGAAGGAAGGTACAACCCGGGCCCACGAGGAGGTGCTTAATGTACAATTGCACATCCGGAGGGCCGATGAACAAGCTGGGACCTCGTTGCCGCACGAAGCACAAGAATCGCATAAGACGGTCGTCGTCAAATATCGCAGCTGCTCCCATCGCGTGGAAGGCATACTGGAAGTCGTGAGTGATCTCTCCTGTGTCGGCAGCCCTCTGTCCAAGAGATATAGACTGAATCATGGCCAACGTCTCTTCCGCCTGCTCCAAACCTATCAGCACGAGCACAGTAGCGTCCTATGCATGTTCCTGAGCAGATGCAAACTTGACATCTCCCAAGGAGGGCAGACGGCAGCATTTTGGCAGCGGCAATCGTTCGAAAAGCCTGTTGGGAGGACAGAGGCACTTCCAAGACGAGTCGAAGCCAGGAACGGCCTTCATGATCCCCTCTCCTACAGAGCACATCGTTAGGGACGTGTCCGGGGGACGCTGTCTGTCGCACCCGTCAGTAAGAGCGATTGAGCATACTCGCGGAAAAATTCCGCCCGGCTGTCATTCCGACCTCCTGACTCCAACGATACTGAAAAGAAAATTAGCCCGACAACTTCTGATTAGCAAAGACCTTGATAAGCCTCCCACACATCCTCTGGCAGGAATCTCAGGTAAGCACCGGACATGCCGTCGGTTATCCTGTCGGTTATGTCGTCCAGCGTCTCCACGAACGACCTCTGAACCAAACTTGAGCGATCGAGACTTGAGGTGTCTCTGTCCTGTTGGCATTCAAACAGGCATGCCCTCCATGTGAAGTTCATCCGACTGCCGCTGCTCTCTATTCTGCGATCGTACACGTACTCGTGCTCCGACGCTTCATGCAGACAACATGCCCTCTGCTTCAAGATCCCCTCCAGTTCGCCGGAGCTTCCGCATGGCTTGATCGACATTTCTTCTGGATTGCCACCATACCACACGTGCAGTCCGTTCTTCTGCATGACCTCGCAATCCTCTTGAGTGGAGAACGACAGGATCGACAAGCTTCCCTTGAACACTTTGATCGTGTACATGCTGTCGTCGGACAACCCGAGCGTCTTGCCGGAGACATGGCAGAAGTAGACTGAGACGTCCTCAAGCGCCTGGAAGAACACATGGTGCAACCCCTTACATTCCCTGTCTTCCCTCCACTGCCATCCTTGGCTGCCGTCTGCGCACATGATCTCCAGCCATGTCGACGAGTTAGCGATCTCGTAGCTCGGATGGCACTCGTCAGAGGACACATGGTCTTCCGTGCTCGTGCTCTTCTTGCCGATCTTGTCTGCACTCACGTCATCCCGCCTCTCAACGTGGAACTTGGGGAAGCTCTCCGTTGCTGCTACCTTGTCCCTCGTGAAGTGAGCGTGAACTGCGTTGTCGGGGTGGTTTTCGCACCAAATGTGCTGATCCCTTGCTCTCCTCCCGCAGCTCTCAGCATGGCATGCAGAATTTCTCCTCAAACGCCCTTCATCATTGTCCTGGTAGAGCGCCCTTTCCTGCTTGTTCTTCTCGCAGCGCCCTTCCAGCATGCAGCTTCCTGACTTTCGAGGAATGAGGCTCGAAGAGCTTGTGTTTGAGCATAGCGAAGAAAAGGGGAACAAGAGGACAAGGAGGACGAGGAGAATCGAGGATGAGGAGGACGTGGGCGTGGAGGACGTGGACATGGAGGTGTCGGAGGACGAGGTTGAGGACGTGTCGGAGGACGAGGACGTGTCGGAGGACGAAGAAGAGGAAGAGGACGAGGACGAGGACGAGGACGAGCTTCCAGTCCTCATCCCCCTGCTGCCTCTGAGTCAAGCGAACTACCGACTGAGCATGCCGCTTGTGGACTTTTCCGCTCGTTACGCCCGTTATTTCATCGGGGAGACAGGGACCAGCAATGCTGTGAGGGGCGGGAGGGAGGCGGGGGGAGGAAGAGAGAGCAATCTTGTAGATCAGAAGACAGAGGAACAATGTTGCGTGCTGAGACGCCATAGAGCAGGTGCAGAGGAAGAAGAGTTTCGGATGAGCGGGCTGGGTCAGCTGCCCCAGCACCTCCAGCTCAAGGTGCTTTCCTTGCTGGACGACGGGACTTTCCGGTCCCTCGCAGGTAGAGCTGGACTTGAGGTGAACCCATTGAGCTCTCGATACAGGGGGGTCCCAGGATGGAACAGAGAAGGCAGACCGCAGCTTCTTGGAAGCGACTTCCAACACGTTCGACGCCGAGTCTGCGATCAAGATGGTTAGGGAGAGAGGGTTCGCTGTGTTCGACGGCTTCCTGGGGAGGGATCAGGCTGAAGGCGCGCGGGGGGCAGCGCAGAACATCTTCCGAGCAGGTCTGATGAGAAGAGCTGGGATGGGTAAGGACTCGACTGCATGGACGGACGTCCGCGCGCGAGGGGACGAGATCATATGGATGAGCTCGCTTCTGGAGAGGAAGCTGTCGGGCGACCTGAGTGACGAGGCTCTGACGCGGAGCATCTCCTGCATGGAGGTTTGTGCGCTCCTTCATGACTTCCGTCCCTCACTCTCCCTCCAGGCAGTGTCAGACTCCATCGTCAGTGCGCGGGACTCCCTGGTAACCGCGTTATCGCAGACCTTCACGTGCGAGAAGGCCACGTTCCAGCTCGCCCGGTACGCGCAGGGCGCCTGCTACGTGCGGCACTCTGACGTGAGCGAGACCAACGCTGGTCGTCGACTGACTTGCATCTACTACTTCAACCCGGGTAACTCTGTTCTGCCTCCCCTCACGCCTGACGTGTAGCGGAAGGATGGCGTGAAGAGCACGGGGGCGTCCTGCGGCTGTACCACCCCAAGGAAGGGCTCGTCGACGTCGCTCCTCTGTGCGATCGGCTCCTCCTCTTCCTGCCCGACATGGAGCATGAGGTCTTGCCGTGCGCGAGTGAGAGGTTCGCCATATCAGGATGGCTGTACGGCCCCAGCTCGTTCTTGGAGAGCTGTCAGGCCTTCGCAGCAAGACGAGAGGAGGAGGAGGCAAGGCCGGAGGAGATCTTCGTCTCGATCGTCGCCTACAGGGACCCCGAGTGCCCCAAGACCGTGCGAGATCTGTTCCAGAAAGCCAAGCTGCCCAAGAGGGTGCATGTGGGGCTGATCTCGCAGGTCGACTTCCAGGATGACGAGGACTGCTTCTTGCATGAGGGTGACCTGCCGGAAGGATGCGAGGAGAACGTGCGGGAGACCCGGTTCCACTGGAAGGAAGCAAGAGGTCCGTGCTGGGCAAGGTACCTCGCACAGAGGCTCTGGGCAGGGGAGAAGTACTACCTCCAGATCGACTCCCACATGCGGTTCGCTGAGGGGTGGGATGAATACCTCATCTCCCAGCTGGGCTCGTGCCCGAGCCCTAAGCCAGTGCTCAGCACGTATCCTCCCGGATACGACAGGGACCATCCCGTCCCCCAGCAGTCTCCCAGCACCCTGTTGTGCGCATCTCAGTTCGGCGAGGAAGGCATGCTGCGGATAGCTGGGAAGATGCTGAGGCAGAGGCCGGCGGCTCCTCGGGTGAGCCTGTTCTGGGCAGCTGGGTGCTCCTTCTCCACAAGTGAGCTTTTGCTGGAAGTTCCCTACGATCCCTCGATGAAGTTTCTCTTCTTCGGGGAGGAGCTGACCATGCTAGCCCGCATGTGGACGCGGGGGTTCGACGTTTTCGCGCCCTGCCACCCTGTCGTGTTCCACTGCTGGGATCGGAGCTACAGGTCGAGCTTCAAGGAGGTCGCCGACCCCTTCGACCTCCGCTCCCGATCCCTCCTGCGGGCTCGGTCGATCTTGAGGATGGGGGAGGGAGAGGAGACAGTGCGGAACGGACCCTCGGGGCAACGAGCTCGTCCCGAAGCTCCTCCGAAGGAAGCAACAGACAAACTAAGTCTGCACTACAACTGCTACCAGCTGCACTCCTTCTTCCAGAACAGAAACTCGTGGGACTGCGACTTCGAGGAGGCACAGGTCTCGCCCATGCAGGTAACCTCCCCTCCATCCCTCCCCCTCCTCTCTGAGATCCCACTGCCAGGGCCTGGACGGCGTGTACGGAGTCGGCAAGGAGAGGAGCATGGAGAGTTTCTTCGGTGATGCCCTGCCGCTATGTTGTTCGCGTCGTCATGCTGACTTGATCCGCAGACTTCATCGGAGTTGACTTGCAGCACAAGGCCATTAGCGCAAGGGCGACGCTGGGAGGGCTCGACCCTGACGCCTTCATATAGCTGTGGAGTAAACAAAGGAGGACGAGGATAAACCCTACAAACCCGCCTCAATGAAACACTAGGAAATGAAGGAAGCAGCGAAAACCGCTACTCCAAACACGCGGCAAGCCCGGCGACGGCATGCACGACTCAAGCAGGGGAACAAGGATCAGGACAAAGAGCAGTAGCGCAAGGCCCCTGCGAGGAGGACGGTAAGACCCATACGAGAGCGATACTGCCGAAACAGGCGAGCACGCAAACACAGATAAAGTTTACAAGGGTTCAAAGCCTACTTTACTGAGTAAATAAGAGGCTAGAGTCGGCCCCAAGGTTCAATCTCGATCGTATCGCGGGGCAGTAAAGTAAACCCCTATGCCCTATATGCCCTCCCTCCTCTTCCTAGCAAAGGCAGCAAATCAGAGCCTCCCAGCTCAACACTCAACTCCCTCCCTCCCTCCCTCCCTCCCTCCCCCCTTCACTCCCTCCCCTCCCTCCCTCACTCACTCACTCCCTCCCTCCCTCCCCCCTTCACTCACTCCCTCCCTCCCTCCCTCACTCACTCACTCACTCACCTCCCTCCTCTCCTCTCTGCCTGCCAGAGATCCATTCAAGGCACTTAGATCATTCACCTTTTGCAGACGGACTGGTGTCCAGAGCAACCCATGTGATCCGTCCTGACTCGTTCTGTGAGCTAGACCTGTTCTTCTTTCGTGCTAGTGAGTAGAACAGTGATGAGTCAAGGAAGATGTCTGCATCCTTGCTGTGCAACCTACGGGAAACCACTGACAAACTGATTTATGGTCTCAGCTTGCCGCGTCAAGCAGCGGGGATGGCGAACGATTCAACTGATGTCACGGAGATCGCAGTGCTCCTAATGCAAGCGGAACGTATGCCCGAAAATTTGGGAGATGTGCTTGATGATATCATCTTTCTAGGACAAGGTCTGCAATCGATCCTTGCTCTGAGTGCTTCCCGAGTAACATGCGTCATAGAACGGATTGTTCAAAGATCGTCAAGATCACCAAAAACGAGCATCACTCATGCAGAGAAAGAGCGTCGCAAAGCTCTGCTCGTCGCCATTCTCACCCGAAGCCTGCAGAGGCTGGAGGAGTGGATGAGCGAGTTCGCCAACAAGCCGGACGTGAACTTCACTGTCGGCAGGGACCGCTACACTCCTCTGATGCTCGCGGCGATGCGAGGGGACATGGAGGTTGTGAGGATCCTTGTGGAGAAGATGAAAGCAAACAAGCATGCGAAGACATACCGCGGCGACAAGAGCGCGGCGGACTTGGCGGAGGACGAGGAGATAAAGAGATACTTGTCGGCTCAGGGTTGAACGAAGCCAATAAAGCAGAGACTGACGAAACCTCGCAAGCAGCAATCACACTGACTCATTCCGTCACACTCCGGCAGGTCAAGTTGTGGCGCAGTGCCAACCGTTGACCCGCACTGAACGTTCACTCAAAGTTGACTTAAAAATCAGTACGAGGACAATCAGGAGAGTCGAGGAGGCTTGACCCGGGCCGAAAAGACAGCGAGAACCAAACCTAATGAGGAGTCCTGCCGGCTGCTGTCCCCGGGCCCAACTTACTAAGTCGCCGGCGCCGCGGCCCGGGATCGCGGGACTGGGTCCCGGGATGCTAGCGGCCCGGCCGGGACGAGGCCCGGCCCGTCCGAACTGATCCGAGGGAACGGCAGCCGCTAACTGTCCTCGTACTGATTTTTAACTTAACTTTGAGTAAAGAATATTTCCCAGCAGACATGCCGAGGTTGTGCGGCAACTCTGGTCCTCGTCCCTGCTCCTTGCCAGGGCCGGGGTGGCTATAGCTCTTGCCCAGCTGTGCTGGATCAGTAGCTGGGAGCTGGATGATGTGCTGCTGTTAGTGGGGGCTGAAGTTAGTGAAAGGGAGGTAGTTAGGGGAGGAACGCGGGAGGAAGCAACGAAACATGAAGGGGTGAGGTAGGAAGGGAGAGAGGCCGAGACCCACGGAAGAAAACGGAGAAATGGAGGGATGGAATGTGAAAAGAATGGGAGGGACGGGGAGCAGGAGGAGAGAAGGAATGTACTGTAAAAGTTTTCAAGTGGGGAGGGAAGAGGGAAGGAGGAGGAGGATTTTGTGCTTTCTCCTAACCATGGTTGGTAGTGGTGAGAGGAAGAGCTGACGTTGGGTAGGGAACACGAACGAGCACCAAGAGATGTCACAAGCACCGGACGATGACGACAGTGATGTGATTAATCTCTTCAAGAGAGGATCCGATGACGATTTTGACTCGACTGAGTGGATTGATGCTCTCTTGACTCGAGCTATTCAGTCACCAGGTAAGAGGTGAGGGATAGAGTTGACTGCTGAGAGGTTGTGCAGGGCCAAGAATGCGATCCGCTGTCGCTTCTCCAACCACAGTCGATGATGCAGAGAAAGAGCGTCGCAAAGCTCTGCTCGTCGCCATTCTCACCCGAAGCCTGCAGAGGCTGGAGGAGTGGATGAGCGAGTTCGCCAACAAGCCGGACGTGAACTTCACTGTCGGCAGGGACCGCTACACTCCTCTGATGCTCGCGGCGATGCGAGGGGACATGGAGGTAGTGAGGATCCTTGTGGAGAGGTTGAAAGCAAACAAGCATGCGAAGACATACCGCGGCGACAAGAGCGCGGCGGACTTGGCGGAGGACGAGGAGATAAAGAGATACTTGTCGGCTTGAAGGCCGAGGAGAACGTCAGAGCCAATAAGTCCTTAACTTCCTCCTCCATTGCGTTATTCCTGTATGCTTTGACATGCTCCTAAGATGTAAACCGGCATGCAAGAACAGCCTGTCCCTGTATCCAACAGCCTCCTTCCTAAACCCTTGCGTAACTGTTCTCTGTTCCACATGTCTCCACCAGATGTCGGATGGGATGGTCACAGTCTCAGCAGCCCTCCTCCTTAGCCTTGTCATCTTCTCTGAGATCGATCGAGCAGACGCGCAGGTGAAGGAATAACATGGAACAACCTGCACAAATTCGTCAGCCGTCCAAGGATCACAAAGGATATACACTAGGCGAGCCGGAATCGAAGGGAAGTGGGAGGGAGGGAGGAGTTCAACGAATAGAAGACGGACAGAGAGCAGAGAACAGCGCAGATCTGCGAATAGAAATTCAAGGCTTTCGGTGCGTTCCTGCTGCGATGGAGAAGAATAAAAGAAAGACACACTGAGCGACAAGCTGCCCTGAAAAGACAAGGCTGATCCCTGAAAGATTCCAACGTCACGCTCCCTGAACGAAGGAAGTCGGCGGTACCTTGTTGAATCGCAAAACCAATCGACGTGAAGACGAAGAACGAAGACATGGCACAGGGCAGCTCTATTGAGTCGCAGAAGTAGACCTGGACATCATGCCCCCCCGTCAGACGTCACTTTTCACGTCACCTCACACGCGGCACCTGAAGCGTCGCTCGCAAGAAACCATTCCACACCGGCTCCATAATGGCGTTGACGATGCATCCTGAAGGATCAGCTCAGTCCTCCGATTGCCTGAGTTCCTCAGGCACCAGAGAGGATGATGACAACGTCCGACATGGTGCCGGGGACCTGCTGCGAGTCCACTCCCTCCTCTCCAGTAGCAACGTTTCCCAGCTGCACCTGCGGCTTATCCACCACCCGTCCAGTTCCTTCAACTATCCTTCTCTGACACCAGATTGCGTAGAATGCAAACCAAAGAGCCTGCGAGCAACAATCACGCTGGTATTACCAAGTAGAGGTGGAGACCTGTAGTATGAAAGATATGAGGAAAGCGGTACGTCGACCGAGCCTCGGGTTCAAAACAAGTTTCCTCCAGCACATAGAAGCCGCCACCGATACCAGGCTCGAGATGAAGCCGACTGTAGCTACGTATGTGACTCCAAGGAGCCTACATGGCAGTTGCGTCAGAGCAAGTTTCGTCGAGTTCAGCTCATCACATACCCTGAAACCACTTTCTCCATGAATGCTCCGATGAAGAATCCCATTCTTGCTCCATCTACGAGCATTACTGGTATGATGTACCGCATCCGGAGGTCCCTCGTCAGAAATCGGATCATGAAGTGAAGATCTGGCAGCTGAGCATTTGGCAACTTCGCACTATCCGCTCCTGCCATCCGTTCGTCATGCATACATTTCTTGTTAGCAACGAGATGTTCCTACCACCATCAATGATGGGAGCCTCCAACTGTGCGTCCGCCGGTCCAAGAGCAAGGATCCCCTTCTTGTCTTCCGGCTCTGATTGGCCGGCCTCGACTGTTTCCTGTCTCTTGCTCGCAGTGGCAAAACTCTTCAGCAACTCAGCGACATCGAGAGAATGGTTGGACTCAGGGGATGGGAGCAAAGCCAGCAATATCACTCCAACAACCCCCAAGATCGTCAGCACTGTGAACAAGATGGTCAGCGAGTTGTCTAGCACGCTCATGACGACGGATGCAAAGAGCAGCGAGAGAGCCCCGGAGGCCGAGAAGATGGCGAAGAAGGTCGCGTTCAGGTCTGATGTACAGTCGGTGAGTGCAACACCGGTGCGTTGGCTCATGAGCAGAGAGCATTTCCCCACGTATTCTCCCTGCAAACAATGTAAAAAAGGTGAAATTGAATGTGCTGTTGTCGGCCGACCTGGCTTGTCCACAGGGTAGAGGCTGCAATGCCGACGGCATAGCAGGAGATGGACAGGAGCATCTCATTCTTGGGCAGCAAGTAAGAAGCCGTGATCACCACGTACGGCAAGCTGCTGGTCCAAAGCAAAGTTTTGGTACCAACTTTTGCAACAATCCACGGAGCGACAAGGGAGCTGATGGCCAGACACGAGTATATCACGAGCAGGCATACATAGCCTGACGATCTGTTAACCGTAGTCTGCAGCTGCTCCGAGGCCTTGTAAGCTGCGAAGAGGCAGAAGAAACCGACAGCAAGACATTTAATTCGGAGCCTAATTGACTCCGTCGTGTCCATCCTAGCTGAGTGACCCTGTAGAGAGCTCCACCGGCTCCTGCATGCTCCTGGAGACCTTTGCAGGCCAATGCTGCATCATGCCTCCGTTACTGCTGCCTCCTCCTGCCATCCTCCTGTCGCCCATGCCCCCCCCCCGTTCCCCCATATCTTCCATTATATCGTCCCCCAACATCCACAAACCCTGAGAGCCCCCTCATACCCGCTCATGAATCTTTTCATCGCCCTCATATCCCATCCATGATCATCTCCCTCATACCTCCCCTGGAACATTTGATACCCTCGTCCCCGCTAAGTCCCTCTAGCCCCAACATGATCGCCATGCGAAGAGGCGCGATGGCAACAAGGCTCATGGCGATCGTGATGGCGGCAGGGGCATGTCAGGCCTCGTCGTCTTCATCGACCCTTTATGCTCAACATCCTCCCTCCTCCTCTCTCGCCTCCCCCTCCTCTCTTTCTCCCCCTTCCTCGCTTTCTTCCCCTTCCTCTCCTATCCACTCATCTCACTCTACGAGGAAGGTATCACTGCAGCATCACGCTCCTCTCACACAGCTCAGGAGCCGCCACCATGCACACCACCCATTAAATCATAGAGAGCACGTCGCTTCCCGTATCCAGCCGCCTGCTATGTTGGGGGACAAACACTTGTCAATCAGCTCGCTTTCAGAGTTCGACGTCCTCTACAACGCGTCGGACTTGGGTGATGAGCCCTGGCTGCTGACCAGAGACAACGAGGGGATCCCCATGCTAGCCCTGATCTTCCTGGTCTTCGGCTTCATCGTGATGTCAATTGCTGCAGTCTTCACCCTGGTCTTGGCAGTCAGGTGAGTGTGCCATAGCGCTGCCGGTCGGTGACATGGCCGCGGGTATGTGACTTGTCTTTGTGACAACAGGTACGATGGAGAGATCGATCAGCGTCCCATGGGTCCCATCTACTACTACATCATGTTCTTCGTCGCCTCCATCTCGGTCTCTCTTCATGTAAACCTCGACGGCAACGCTGATGTCCCGTTGAGCAGGCTCTGGTCTACTACAGCATGTGGAGCGAGACGAGTGTGGTGCACATCAAGGAGGACGGTCAAAATCACATCCTCTTCCCCGCGAGATACTTCGACTGGGCCGTCACCTCCCCCTTGATGCTCATCGCGCTCTCGTTGCTGGGTGAGCCTCCAAGTTGGTGGGTGCCGACGGTATCCTGACAGCCTCGTCCCAGGAGATGCTCCTCTCCCTGCCATCGTCGGGATCGTCGGGTGTGACATTCTAAATGTCTCCTGCCTCTTCTTCGGGGCGTTCTACGGCTACGAGCACAAGTTCTTCTGGTCCGTTCAACAGACTGCTTCTCAGCCCGGCTCTGACTTTCTCCCTCTCCCCTTCCTGTACCCGCTGCAGGTGGGCGACTGGGCTGATCTTCTTCGCTGTCCTCCTTTTCATGCTCTTCCAAGAGGTGAGCTGGTCTGCGATGGTGGAGAACCGCTCTCACGCACTGGCCTCCAGCTGAGCAAGGCCAGCGAACTTGGTCGAGTGTCGCAGTACGACGCCGACACTTTGCGGTGGCTAACGTACATCTTCGCGGCCTGGTATGCGTGTGCTGTGGTCGGGTGGCAGGTGTGGCTGAGCTCTGCTCCAGCTGGGCTGTGTTCCCTGTCGTCTGGCTTGTCGGGCAGACTGGAACATCTACGACGTCCTTCAACGTCGAGGTGAGGGGGATGTTTGCGCCGTTGACGCCATTGGGTTCACCTGGGGAGCAGATCGCATTCGAAGTGCTTGCAGACGTCGTCGTGAAGCTTTCCTTCATCCTCATCCTCATCGTTCGCCTCCCCGCCGATGGCGCATCGCAGTACTCGATCAAGCGGGACATGAACGACATCCCAGATTATGGCTCAGCGATGAAGGTTCCTCCTTGGCCCCTCCCTTCCTCCCTCTTCCCTCCCCAGTCATGTTCTTTCTTCATCCAACTTGCTCTTCGCTTCTCTCTCTTCTTTCATTAGCCGCCTCTCCTCCCATCCCCCGTGTTCTTGCCCATGCACTGTCCACCATTGCCACAAGCTCAACCCTATCATCATTCTCCCCCTGCTCCTTCCCCTTGCTCACCCTCTGTTCGCCTTTCCCCAAGTACCGTCGAGACCTTACGATGCGCACAGAGCGGGGGCTGGCGAGGCAACCTAACGAGCAGCACGTTCGTATAGAGGACCAGAAACCTGCGGGACAAGAGGTTATTCATTAAGAAGAGGGTCGAGAGGGAAAAGGAGCAGGGAGAGGAAGTGGCTGTTGGCGGGGCCGGGGGAGATATGCTTCATTTTTGTCGTGTACATACAGGCTGATTAACTTACCTTTCCCTCCTTTCCTCGCGTGTGATTGTGCTACCTTCGCCTTCTCATGAGCTTTCAAAATGGCACAGGGTGCAACCGAGACTCTATGTGAAGTATCCTTCTTTTTATTTTGCATCCAAACATTCACACATTGACAAACACCTTCTCTCCTCTCCCACACTCATCTCACTTCCCCGGCCGTCTGGCACCTCCCTCTCTTCTCCTCGTCCCCGCAATGGCATCCCGGGGAGCTGTAGCAAGCTCACCCCTTGTGTGGCCCTTGAGCAAGACCTTCGGGGCCCTGCAGGAAGGAGAGAGGGCTTTGCTGAGTACAGATGCCTCAAACTCTGGTTCTACTTTCTTCATCCATCGCGCCGGCAACCCTTGCAGAGCTTCAGCGCTCGGGCGCTCCGGCAGTTGACTCCTCCGGACCTTGGGCAGCAGAGAAGCTTTCCCTGCCTTCACCGGAGTTGGCGTTGGGTTGGATCGGAAGCTGAGCGAGTGGGACACGATCTTAAGCTCTCCCTCCTCCTCCTCCTCGACCTTGTTGTTGGCAGGGCTATGCCCCTCCTCACCGTCATGAACCCTCTCCAGCTCCCGCCTGCGCATCCCGTTGCTCACCATATCCGCTAGCTCAGCACTCTGCACTGCATCCGTGAGCCTCTCCCGTGCTCCCCTCATCCTCAGCCTGAGGGGGGAAGTCGCATGATCCGATAGCCCCAGCCCAGGGACTTTGTCCTCTCCCAGCCTCTTTAGCTTCTCTTCCATCAGCTCGAGGAACTGCTGCTGAGGACCGATGACACTCCCCGGCCTGCAGATGCGGAGCCAAGCGATCGCCTCCCGAGCAGTGAAGGACCTGTGCTTCATGAGATATGTCGCAATCAACGTCCCCGTCCTCCCAAGCCCAGCGAAGCAGTGGACGGCCATGACACCTTTCTCCTTCTCTGCTATCTTGAGGAACTTGTCGACGATAGCGTCGGAGGGAGTTGAGCAGTCCACGAAGAACAAGTCGGTGTGCTTGATTCCCATCTCCTCGAACTCCTCCTTCCTGTACTCGTTTTCGTTGAGCCTGATGACCCTCGTCACGTTCTTTGCATGGAAGACAAGCTCGAAGTCTGAAGGGATGAAGGACGTGTCGTTCATCTTCGAACCCTTGGGCCCTCGGAACGCGATGAACTTCCCCTTCACAACCTCATGCATGTCCCCGTTCCATGGGCTCTCATAGTAGAAGTACTCGTTCACATCCAACGAGCTCGGGTCAAGGAGGCCCTGCTCCATCGCCCTCTGTAGCCCTGCCCAGCAGTCCCTCAGCGTGATGTTGAACGTGCTGGGTGCCCATGTGGCGTCTCGGAAGGGGCAGTGGTCCCACGGCGAGACCTGAGCGAAGGGGATCCAGGCTTCTGACGGGGACAGCCCCATGCTCACGCACAGGAACGATCCGATCAAGTACATGCCGTTGGTCACGTCGGTGATGGTGTCTTCCACAAAGAGGGTGATCCTCTCCTGCGTGCCGCTGCGGAGCTTGTCCTCAAACGAACGCAGCATCGTGATGGTGGTGCCGAGGTTGAAGGGACCGAAGTCAGCGCAGAAAGGGAAGTACCGCAGCCTCGCTGGAACGCACATGTGCACATCCCTCCCGTCTGTCTGCGACGGAAACTTGCTTCCTTTCCTATACTTCTTCAGGAACAACCTTCCCTTCAGAATTTCCAGCTTGCCATGCCCGTCAAAACTGCCAGATCCCAGAACGAACTCTTCTTCGCACCCCGCTATTCTCGCCTTGCAAACGCTTCCCTCCTCCTTGTGCTTCGAGGGTGTGCTGGCTTGACTGAGCGAATCCAGCTCCAGCCTGTCCGTGTCCGCATCCTCAACCAACGAGATCTTCTCCTCCTCCTTGCCCTTCTCCTTTTCTATGACCTTTCTGGGACTGAAATCTCTTGGCTTCATTGACGTCGGAGCCTTGGGATGAACGAGAGGTTCGAGCAAAATCTTCTCTTTCTTCATCTTGCAACTAAACGCAGTTGAACGGTCTTCCCTTCCAAGGTCTGAGCTCCACAAAAACTAGCTCCTTCAACCCTCGATCGTCCGGACGTCAGGAACGGGGGTTACCTAGGCGCTTTCACTTCCCTTGTGGTCTTCTTGATCCTTCTCTTGACATCCTCTGGCACCTGTTGCTCCTGAGCTCACAACCTCTGGCCCTCTCCTCCTTCCACTCTCACCCTCCTCCTTGTCTCCATCCCTACTGCTACGACGGCCATAGATTGACCGCTTCTCTCTACCCGGCAACCTTTAAAATCTCTTGTAGCATCCTTAGCAAGTTACTATTGTTTTCTCCGACGGTACAAAACATTTACCGATATATTAAGGGAAATACCTGAATTAAATAGTATTGAAGTAATTCACATTTGAGTAAATATTTGTATAAATACTAAAGTCCTCGGATACAAATAAAAGGGCAAGAAAAACACCTATATAATTATGGTATAACTTTGGCCGATTTCATTGAACATTTTAGATATACTTCCCGGTACTCAAGTTGTACGAGTATTCTTTTGCTGGTATTGTGTTTTTAAATGCACTTTATATTAGTTTTAGCCCTTTGACCGACATATCCGCCCAAACACCCTCCACGGATGTTGCATTGGGGTGGGTGGTCTCTGCAGGGGTACTGGACCTTGCAATACATCGACTGGTACTATGTACCAGGCAAAACGATAGCATGGTAGGGGTACTCGAAGATTTTCTAAAAAAAATGTCTCAGGGAAGTCCTTGAAGGTATGGGTCATCTGAGGAAAAAGGGGGTTGGGTCCTCTACCCATCTGTGATGAGGGGGTGGTGTCCCAGCGGCTAGCCCAAACTCCGGAATTTTTAAGTTTAATGGGGGGTGGGGTAGTACTCCACTATAAAGCGAAGGGGTTCAATCCAGGCTGAATCACCTGGTGAGGTGAAAAATTCTCTTTTGATGTCCTTTGGGGATGGTAGGGGTACCCCTTTTAAGACCAGGGGTAAATCACAAGGCGTTGTTGGGCTTAGGGGGAGAGGGGTAGAGACGCACATGGGTGGTCGTAGTTTTACCACTGGGTCGTTGTATACGACCCCCTGCGATCCGTCTACTCACTTCTACTATTTCGAAAGCAGATCCAAGTCAACTTGAGTTTCGGAACTAGTTTATGAATTCAATCAGTAGCTTCGAAATGTGATGCACTTATTTTGTAATAATTTCAGATTCGCACGGAATATTTGCCCCGTAATGAAAACAAATTTGTGCTCTCCTAAACTATACCCACCCCCTAATAAAAAATTCATGCTGGCCACCCTACCCACTTTTGACTTGCACGATCGCTGAAGGAAAGTCTGTCTTGACCCACCCCTCCTTTAAGCGGTCAAACCACCGTTGTTTCGAGAGGTTCGTAAAACCTACCCACCCACTCAAGACATTTCAGTCACGACCAGTGGTCTCAAAATCAGCATTTGACCTCCATCGGACAATTGCAGTACCCCACCCTGAGCCACCCTGGGCTACGGTACCACTAAGTCCAGTTGTCAGACTTCGAGTGGACCGAAACTGTTGCATGTATTCAAATATTTGCTCCTACATTTGAAATGTACATCATGTCTGTTATATCTATCGAAATGGGTGCTCTATCATCAAGGTCAGCAGATCTAACCTGGTGTCCCCTCTTTCAAAAGGGTTGTATACTTGCAGCGATAAGGAGCTTTTTCGGAGACTATATTCCACCCACCACAGCGTGAAAAGAGTCCATATCACAAATGTATCTCTGAGCTTATCTCCGTTACAATACCCCTCATTACCGTTACTGGTCCTGGCGAGATGGGTGGAGAGATGAGTAAAAGGTTCCCGGTACCTTCAAGAGGTCAGCAAGGCCAAAAATGTTTTTTAATTTGTACCAGAATATCTGAAAGTCAAATAATGTAGACCCTTTAATATCCATTATTATTACGGTCATGAGGCTCCGTGGGGATCAATTCGACCGGACAAATCGATCCTCTATACCTCTTTCAGTCGCTTCCCCAAGGGCGGATGAGATGGAGGGTTTTGCGACGAGAGGAAAGGGCCAGACAGGAAAGGAAGGGAGCTCTAGAATGGCAGGCAGACAGGCAGGTAGACGGAATGAAACAAAGTTCGAAGCATAAGGACATAGAGTGAAGTAGTGTGTGGAAGGCAGAGGTGGTAAGGAAGGTGGCTTGGTGGGAGAAAGACAGTATTGTATGATCTAGGATCGGCGGCTTGACTTTCTACTAGGCAGAGAATTGACACATATGTGCGCACGCCTATACTTATCTTCGTTTTGATAGTCGCATAACACTCAGTTCATTTCGCAGATCCCTGCTTTGTTTGTAAACGTCGCGCGTTGACTATCCTATCTGCACGGGCCATGAGAGAGCGTGAGACTATTCGTGACAGCTTCAATTGCTCCATCTTCTCCTTCAAATGCTCCTCCGTGAATGAGGAATCAAGCGCCAGAGAGCTCATTGTTTCTCCCTCCGGCTATTGCTCGACGGCGCCACCTCAATCTGTCCGAGTTGGCTCATCGTTTGCCAGAATGACAGAGAAGGAGAAGCAGAGCAGGAGAGTGCGCAGTATGGATAAGATGAAACTGTTTCAAGAACGTTTTGACGAAAATCGGCTTGTATAGCAACATTTGCTCTCACTTTTGGATTTTCTTGCTTCGCGGTGTGATGATACCCGTGTGTGAAGCTGTTGGCCAGGGATACAATTTTTGTTGGTTCTACTGGAAAGAGGCTGTGAAGGACGTTGAAAATAGAATTGTGTATGTTTTACTTGTATTCTGTAGATGTAATCGTATTCCTCTAATAACCTGATTGGACAAAAAAAAAATCAGAATCCGAAACACGAGAAACTGAGTTCTGGTTTGGGTGAACTCCCACAGTGAGACAGGAACCAAATCAATCAATCAATCATCATGATATTGATCATCGTCATCATTGCCATCATCATCGAGGTAGCAAGATTGTAAGCAAAGTAAATTCACCGGCATCGAAGCCACGAATGCACAAAATCTTTCCGCCGGGTCGAAGTTCGCAAGCTTCATCCTGAGAATGCGTGTTGGAAGAAGGAGAGGAGCAAGAGGATTGTCCTACCTTGGCTTGCTTGGCGATCTTCTGAAGCTCCGCGGTCTGCCAACCCAGTGACTCCATGGCAGCAAGAGAATTAAAATCAACCTTGGCCTTCTGAGCAGCGAGCTCCTTCTCCACTTGCTTCAGCTGGGCCTTTGCTTTCTGATGAAATGCGATGAGAACTCACCACGCCTTTCCTATCACCTCTCATCACATTAAGAGCTTGGAATTTTTCTTTGGCCGTGGCATCAAGCTGAGCCTGCTTGTCCTTCTGCTCGCTCTTCAGCTTTTGCTCTGCCGCCATCTTCTCCGCCTTCACCTATCATAGAGTTGCATTCAGCTCCAATTCATCCTCTCCCCTTGCTCAGCAACCTTCTCTTCGGCTGCTCGCTTCGCTGCTCGCTCTTTGGCAGCCTTGTCAGCTGCTGCTCTCTTTTCCTCAATTGAAGCATCGGTGCTTGACGTTGCCTTTAGCTGGGGGGCAGCTGGCTGCTCGGCAGGCACGACTGGCTTAGGTGCTGGCTTGGGCTTCGCAACAGGAGCAGGTTCGGCCGTGTCTGCGGGCTTGCTTGGAGGAGACTTCTTGGCTACTGGCTTCTCATCCCCTGTCGCTTTCCTTTCAACAGGAGCATCATTCTGAGCTGGAGCACGCAGAACTTGATCTTTCTTCTCCTGAATGCTTTCAGAGATGTCTTTGACGTCAGGCATCTGCTCCACGAGGTCATGGCCTCCAGGCGCATGTGCAAACAAAATCATTTACCTTGAAGTTCTTGATGCTGTCGGGCATCTTCAGATCCGGGGCCTTGAAGGACTTGAAGCTATCAGGGATTTGCAGGTCTGACACCTTGGAAGGAATCTTGAGGTCAGGAGCTTTGAACTCTGGAATCTGAGTTTGAAAATGTGAGCGAAGTCTTCAAGGGGTAGAACTCAATTTGTTTCCAAGCTGACCTTCAAGTCCTTCACGTCAAAGTTCTCCAAGGCGCTGCTCTTCTTAGGAGCTGCCTCGTCGACTCTGACTTTCCCCGGCTGAGATGAGAGTGAGGGCACAGCATAGCTATACTCCGTCAGTTTTATACACCTCGGCTTCCAGGGTTCCCTTAGGGGCATAAGGGTTGGGTGCAACATCCGCCGATGCGGTCAAGATACTGATGGGAGAGAAGAGAAGCGAGGTCGAGAGAAAGAAAGAAAGAGCCCGATTGACCTAGTGCACGATGATTCACCGAACCGGCAGCACGGGAAATCTGCACAAGTACCATTTTGTTGGCATGATCATCCTTCATGCAAACAGCCGGTCCCTTCGTTCGTCTTGCCTGCGATTGAAACTTGTTCCTTGCATCCTTAAAAGCGCAAGGAACAGTGCTAAATCCTTCAAGACGACCCAGGAAGCATACAAAGACCAGGAGCTGCAAGGCAGCTCGAAAACGCTTGTCTGGAAAACCATGTGAGTGTCGATCAGACTTTGAGGTCGCATGCACATGGTAGAGCAACAGCGATCAGCAAGTCTTCGTCTACTCGATGATGCCCATGTATGCCATCATTCGCCTACTCCTGCTCACTAGACGAGCTGCGTTTCCTTCTCCCACTTCCACCCTGCCTTTCACTGCGAGTATCGTTTTACTCCATTTTGTACACATCTCTCACAAATTGGTTTACCATGCAGCAGGCACAAAACAAATATATCCTCGTCAACAAAATAATTCGTTCTCCAAATGTTAGCCAAAGATGGATACATCATTGTTTCTCTTCAATGAACATCAATCCATCATGGGCTGCCCCGTTCTTTCCAGCGTTTTCCTTACTTCAGGTATGATCCCTTCAGCAGTGAGATTCCAAATCCCCTAGCTACATCCTCATCTGTTATCTCCTGTTCCTTCTAGACCACTTTCCTTCGCATTCCTTATCGAATCCTCCTGTCCTGCACTTCCCTCTCTGGTCTTCAGAGAGTTGTTACTGCTCCAAATCTTGCGAGCATAGAATCATCAAACAATCATTTCAGTGCTACTACCACCTCCACCACCACCGCATCATTCTCCCAACAACTATTACAACTGGTACTTATCATCTTTTCCCTCATTCTCTTCCTCCCCCATCGTGTCTTGACCAACTCCTGGTTCCTGTCGCACCTTGCATGGCCGCGGATCTATACAGATTTTGTGGGGTAGGGTACACATCGGGTTGGTATGACAATAGTCAAGATGGAGGTAGGGGTATGTAAATTTTACATAGCACCGGATAATTTCCCCGAAAGTCTTGGTAGATGTACCCGGTCTTTTGAGGTGTTTTATCTATTCTGATCGAAGGTTACAATGGAGGGGTGGAAAATTGTCATCTTACTACCCGTCTTCTCTCCTATGAAATAGTTCATCGAAACAAGGGTAGGGTTGTTGAGCTACGGCCCCCCTCCCACCCTACCTATAAAAAACGACATTTCAACAGGGAAGAATTGGGGTAGGGATAACAGATGGGGGCTGCTAAAACAGTTTTATGTCTCTAAAAGAATTTGTAGCTGATACAAAGTATTGAATGGTACCAAAATATTCACATAAAAGTATTTATAGATAGTCCTTTATACCCGTAATAAAAGCAATTCCCGTAGTGATATAAAACTGGTAAAAGCAGGGTAAAAGAGTAAAACGGTTCTACCTGGTATTCACGGTGCCGCTAGCGCGGCCTTGTTTTGAGCGAAGTCTGACCGTACTTCATGTTTCAGTAGGCTAGAGCGATCGGACGGCCGCCACTGACAACTTGATGATTCCACTGATCGATCATCATGGCATGACATGGCATCGGATCATCATAGCTGGTGGCCGCCCTGTGGGCTCAGTGCCGCACCGCGGCGCTCTGACAGTACTAGTGACCGTGACTGGCTGCCGCGGTACGACGGAGGCTCGCGCCGCCTCGCGCCGCCGGCCCCGCTGAGAGGCGCCTTTCTGCTCTGCAGCCACCCGGCGTCCGCAGCGGCGTGCCGGAGTCCGAGGCTCACACGAGTCACGCGAGTCAGGATGCCACCGAGGTGACTGCTGAAGCGGAGCGGATCGAGCAGCTGCAGCCTGTCGTCCTCTTGCCTTGAGATTGCGCTACCTGAGCCATCGCCTCCTTCATGTTGTTGAGAATGCGGAGGTTATGCTCTCCTTGACCTCCTCGGCCAGCAGCCCCTTGTACACCTACAACATCCAGCGTGAGCCCGCGCGCTGGAGCAGGAGGGCAGGGACCTCGTAGTGATGGTTGAGAGACTTCTGTCATCGAAGATCGTCAGCTCAAGGGAGCCACGGGAGAGGAGGAGGAGGAGGAGGAGAGAAGGGGAGAGAGCTCATGGAAGCAGGGGTTCAACCTGCGTGTGAAGGCTCCAACGGCTGGATAGAGCTCCGCACCTGAAGAACAGGAGCAGCGCAACACTCAGAAGAAAGACGAGTAGGAGGGTATGCATGCATGCCGCTGGTTTTCCACAGCAAAGATCACCCGCCGCAGTCGGCTGTGCACCAGCGCCATGGCACACCTGGCCGGGGCAGGTCAAGGATCCAAAAGCCGGTCGAACACTACGATACATCGGGCAAGGCTCGTAGGTCAGGTAGATGTCGAAGCCAGTGCAGAGGTACGGGCCCTCGTTGACCAAGTCTTTCTGCTGTGCATGGCGTGAGGGAGGCATCTCAAGTAGAGGAGCGTGCTTCACCGCAGTCTCGACGGTCTCGTCCCTGCTGCCGTCCGAGGAGTCCACCTGCTGGAGAAGCATCTTCCTCTTGCTTGTCACATTCACGAGCTGACTCTCCCGCTGCATCGCCGCCACCTGCAGCCCGTTCAGCTCCCTCCTGTACCTCTCCCACAGGCAGCAGACCTTCTGGATCGCGCACATCGCCGCATGATGCAGAGGATGACGCTTCTTCCGGGCATCATCATTCCTCTGTGCTCCACTCGGGATCTCCGGTGAGCATAACGGCCCGGACATGGCGACATCAACCCCCTCCCCTTGAACCTCTCCGCTCGTCTGCCAGGTCAGCAACGCAGTCAAATCTCCGCACGTCGACCGGGAGCGCTACCGGGTCGACTATGACAGCCGCCGCCGCTCCGTCTCCAGCCTTCACCGCCTCCACAGCTAGAGCGGTCGCGCGCCTCATATAAGCCTTCATTCTCTGCCATGCTCGTCAGCTCCAGCGCCATTCTCAGCCTGGCAGCTCCTACACCTCGATCTCCTCCTGTGAGAACCCTAGCAAGACCTTCATTCCTCCTGATCACCGGAGTCAGCCTCGAGCACGAGAGCACACAGCAGCAGCAAGCATGACACCTGCTGGCGGTCGGTAGTTCAGCGGCCAGCTTGACATGAGGTCAGCTAGGGGAAGAAGTAGGGGCAAGGATCACATTTTGGACCAGGAATCGAACTGTTCTCGCGTGTTGGGAGCGAAGGATGGGACCTGGTGCCCGTCAGCCTCTGGTGCTAAGGATGAAGGATGAAGAACCTCCTCCTCGAACATCGAGTCGCAATACTGCTTGATCAGGTCTTGAGTCTCCGTCTCCAGCCTGAAGGCAAGCTCAATTCCATCTTTCGTCACCCGCTCACGTCGCCATGGAATGAGAGAGCACTTGCCTGGAGAAGATATCGGGGGGGGCGATGATAGCAACAAGCTCTGGCTCAGCCTTGCCTCCGCTCTTTGCCGCTGCGTCATTCCTCTTCCGCATCCTCTTCAGATATCGCAGTTCTCTGCAGGTCCGGTAAGGACGACACGGTAGCAGTCCAACAAGGAAGCACGGGATCGGAAGGTTCTTGGACAGGATCTCTATCATCTTGCTCGCATTCTTTGGCTTCACTGACGCGCACAGGACTGGCATCAACTCGAGGTCCTCCACCTGCACCCATGTCAGCTCCTCCTCGGCAGTTGCGACGGGGCGCTAGGGAACTGAGCATCTCGGCCTACCTTGATCCTCAGGTCCACCCTCTCCATCGCCTCCTGCTCTGTCGGCAGTCCCCCATGAGCTCTCCCTTCAGCCCTCGAGGAGGGGGGCATCTGGAAGCTCCTCAGCCCTTCTTGCAGCCCATTCACCCCGGGAGCGAGCAACCCGAAGAGCAGGAGGGCAAGCCAAGGAGCCTGGAGGGATGGGCTGAAGAGAAGCAAGAGGGCTCTTGCAAGCTCCCTTCCCCTCCCTCTCGCCTCCTCCCTGCCCCCTCCCTTCGTCTTGCTCTTGCTGTCGGGCCCCGCCGCCTCCCCGCTCCTCCCCTGCCTCCTCCTCCTCCCTCGATCCCTCGCGGCCCCCTGGAGTTCGCTTGCAAGCCCCCCTCAGAGTGCTGGGGCTCGTCCCGTAAAGTTGTCGAGCAGACACAAAGCGAACATGGGAGGGAGGAGGGAAGGAGGGAAGCGTGGAGAGGAGAGGAGAGGAGGAGGAGGAGGAGGAGGAGGAGGAGGAGAGAGGAGAGAGGAGAGAGGAGAGAGGAGAGAGGAGAGAGGAGAGAGGAGAGGATGTCCGAGAGAGACGAGGGTGCACAGAGCAGGGCAGAAGAGGAAGGAAGGAGGAGAAGGAAGAGAAGCACAGTTGGTGTAGGCTGGCAAACAAGGCAATATTATGGTAGAGTCCTCGTAGATTTCGATTCTGTCTTGTATTTTATCAAACGTTTTTCTCTTCTTCATCTGACATTGTTGAACAGCTATGCAGCATCAAGCGCTCCTGGCAAGCCTAGCGCTCATGTGCCTGGCATCTCCTGTAGACGCCTTCCTCCCTCTCTCTGCCTTGCCGCACGTGAGGGGCATGCAGGGCACGAGGGCAACGACTTGCCAGCCGAAGTTGCGCATGTCGGGGAAGGTGGAGGAGCAAGTGAAGGTGGACTTGGCGAGCTACGGGAAGGAGGAGTTTCTGAGGCAGATGACCTCCTCTCGTACTCCCGCGCCGACGAAGAAGAGCTTGATCGAGGCGTTGAGGAGGATGAGGGAGTCGAGCGAGGATCAGTACATGACGTTCCTCAAGGAGCTGCTGGTGGAGATCGATGGAGTGCAAGACGTCAAGTTCGCTATGACACGATGGCCGATACCCCTTCCTTCCTACCGCACGAAGCTCGGGTGCTTGAATAGGTAGACCTCAAGTCCTTGAGGAGTGGGGAGGAATGGAAGAAGGGATGCAGAAATTTCGAGAAGGAGAGGAAGGGAATGTGTGGGGTGCGGGGAAGGAGAGGGGGAGGTGGGAGACGAATGGGAGAAAAGGGGGGGGAGGAGGAGGAGGAGGAGGAGGAGGAGGGAATAAGTGATGATGCTGGTGATGTCACAGGATGATAACGAAGATGAACGAGGAGTCGCAGTCGACGAGGGAGAGGTCGCTCGCGGTGATCCTGAGGCAACTGATGGACAAGGGAGCATGGTTCCTTGAGCTGGAGGCGATCGAGCGATCCGGCAAGGAAGCCACCATGGAGGTCTGTGGGAAGACCCTCGCTCCCTCCTCTAAGACTTGTATCATCTCTTCCTCCCCTCCCCTCCCCTCTTCTCTTCCTCCCCTCCCCTCCCCTCATCTCTTCCTCCCCTCCCCTCCTCTCTTCTTCTCTCCTCCCCTCCTCTCTTCCTTTCTTCCTTCTCTCCTCCCCCAGCACTGAATTCTTTCCCTCCCCTTCCTTCTCCCTCTGTGTCCACTGTCATGATCTTTTCAGCTGTCAACATCCAATCTAAGCCACTTCTATGATCCACTCTCCCACCCCTTGCTCACTCTCTCCTCCCCTCCTGGCTCCTCCTCGCTCACTCACCACTCACTCACTCCATCCATCTTTCCCCTCCCCTCTCCTCCAACCTGTCCCGCCCCTCCTTCATTCTCAAACTTTTTCGCAGGAGATGCTTTCCCGCACCCCTGAGGGCCTTGAGACTCCTGCCTACGACGTGCTCGCGAGCAGAAGCTCGTGGGAGGTCAGGCAGTACGAAGAGTTCACCGTCTGCTCCACCAACATGAGCCCAGCTGAAGGGTTCAGAGGGTTCAACGCTCTTGCCAACTACATCTTCGGGGGGAACCAGGTTGGCAGCATGCTCAGTTTTGATTCGCTCCTCCTGTCACTGCCCTCCCTCGCTCCTGCCTCCTTTGTCGTAATGGCATTTGAAGTTTCCTCCTGTGTTTGCTACACCATCAACAACGACACTGTCTCACGTGTGAACAAAATATCATCATCATCATCATCATCATCTCCATCATCATCTTCTTTCCACCACCTCCTCCTCCTCTTTCACATGTAGCGTTTGTTGAGGTTCTCAATGCTTCGCAAAGTTTTTGTTGCTCCTTTCCTGCCGTCACGTTGGTGTAGGAGTCGAAGAAAATGGCGATGACAACCCCTGTGATCAATTCGCAGAACGGAGGGAAGATGAGCTTTGTGAGTGACAGTAGTCCTCCTCCTCCTCCTCCTCCTCCTCCTTCTCCTCCTCCTCCTCCTCCTCCTTCTCCTTCTCCTTCTCCTTCTCCTTCTCCTTCTCCTTCTCCTCCCCTCCTCATCTCCTTTCTTCCTCCTTCAGCTCACGGAAGCACAGGTCATGCCTT